CACATTGCATGTGATTTAGCAATCTTTTTTTTTTTTTTTCACGTGTAGTATAGAAATTTGTAATAAGATACATAATGCGGTTATAATAAAATACTGTGTGATTATTTTCATATAATTAAAATTAATATGTATTTATTTTTTAAAAATACAAGGGAAGCTGCATCCACCGCTTCTAATGACGGCACTCCACTGATTTATTATAACAATGAATAACTCATATAATCAATTTTAAAGAGGTTTTAATTTTTACATGTACATTTATTATTCTTTGGACTTTTTGAAAATAATTTATTTAATAACCTTCAAAAATTTTCATGGCACACCTATGATCCGCTCACGGCACACTGGTGTGCCATGATGCCATGACATACCAGTTGAAAATCACTGTCCTAGTGCAACATTTTTAAGTTTCTATGCATTCTGATTTGCTGTTTCTCAAAGTAAAATGCATTTGAAACTGGTAGATTTTCCAAATATTCTATTAGGAAAATCTGTAAAAATAAATACTTTTTACATATAATTCTTCAATCATTAAAATAAATTAAACAAATAAACTTAGTAAAAACAAAAATTAAAATTAAAAAAAGATAATTAAATAAATGCAATAAGTATAGTAATAACTGTTGTTTCTACTTTTCATTATAGAACAAATTTCCATATCCCTTCATCAGATCAGTTGTCTGGGAGCTGATCCAATCATTTACACCATACATAAGCTGTTTATTCGTAGAGCTGTTCAAAACAAATAAAGAGGAATGTTGACATCAGGCATTGTGTCTGCGTGAAAATGCATTATTTAACATATTCATTTTTACAACTGTTTTATGTAAATATGAATATGTTAAACAATATCAATGTAAGGATAAAAAACAGAGTTATTAATAAGTGATGATGCATGTTCATTCATAGCTGCTTGCACAAAAGATCACCTACAGTAGTTTTGGTGAACCTATTTCCATGTCTAGCATATAACACAAGCCTTGCCACCAGCAATTTTCATCTTTTTGTAAGGATTATAATCTGAATACAAATGCAAACTTTCTACACAAATGAGAAGCTGATTGATGATGTAAATTACTGGCTCAGCTCCCAGATGACAAGTTTCTATGATGAGGAGATACAGAAACTTGTTTCACACTATAACAAGTGTCTGAATTTATTTGAAAAAGTAGCAGTGACATGTAGCTAACTTTTGTTTATACTAAAACTGTTCTCTTCCTTTTATTTTTCTAACTGCTTGCCAATGGCAGTGGGCAGATCATCACTCAAGCACAAGAAACACACACCTAAGGTCTCTGGTTATCACAGACCTCCAAAAGTTAGCAGCTTCAAAAAGAGATACACTCTGCAAACCTCAGGCACAGATATCATCTTCATCTTCATCTAGATATTTAAAGATTTATTTTTAAGGAAATGATTGACTGATCAGTGTTGTTTTATTAAGTAATAAATTGATTTGATAGAATTACTTAGTATTTAGAACAAGATAACCTCAAAACTAAGTTGCACTTGGGGCCCTACTAGTGCTTGATCTGCCACTGGCCAGAGGTTGATTTTTAAATTGCTATTCAGAAATCAACCAACTTATACTAATGATTAGGATAATTTAAAACTATATATATAGTGTTGCTGTCTGTTAATGAATGTAGTAGATCAATTTTAAATTTTATTAATGTAAAAATATCAGGGCTGTGGAGTCGCGTAAAAATCTACCGACTCCGACTTTTCCTTACCATCCGACTCCAACTCCGTTTCATATACATAACAAGTTGGTAAGTAAAAAGGGAGTTGGAGTCGGTGGATTTTTTGACGACTGCGACTCCAGCCAAAACACCAAAACTCCACGACTCCGACTCCACAGCCCTGAAAAATATAGAAAATAAATATTTGGTAGAAAGTAAAGATTTGAACAAAATTTAGCTTAGTTCAATTATTTGTTAGTTGCTTTATTTTGTTTACAGCTATTCAAAATGCTTTACCGATGCAGAAGTAGAACAAACTGGAATATTAAATTTAATACTGTAATTTTTATGAGAGAATATAAGGAATAATCTGATATATATAAGCCATAAAAAGAGATTGAGAAATGTTTTTATTGAAGCTATATTATTAAGAGTGTGTCTTTTTTATTGTTCTCAATAATAAGTAGTAGAAAGATTATGAGAAAAATGGGTGGAACATGATGAATGAACAAAATATTACAACTTGTTTAAAAAACAAAAAATAAAGCATTTTAATTTACAAAATTATGCATTTTACAGTTAAAATTTCTCATGGTAAGTATACTGTTTTAAATCATACTACAACATACAAAAAGAAAAAAGTCTAAAAGAACTTATATCACTAAAATGTAAAGTTATGAAAAAATGGGTCAACAACCAGTGAATCAGAAAGTACTGAATTCTTAGGTTGGTATTATTTTTTGATCTTACTCATTCCTTTAAACTTTTCTTTATTCAGAGATGTAAATTTAAATGGTTCCCATAAGCAAAAAGGCAATATTTAGTTTGTTGTAGAGTTAGTTCATTAAACTGGAATTTTCTTAAATATCATATTTTATTTGTAGAAAAGGGCTGACAGAATTACAATTTAATAGAAATTAAAATACATCACAAATGGATACAAGTCCAATTTTGCTTGCCATGTCCAATCACCAGAACAACTATTTCCATTGCAGAGACAACCTTTCTTTAGAGGCTATGCCTCTGCACAAATATGCAAAACAGTTTAAAATGACAAGCAAAATTGGACTTGTATCCATTTGTGATGTATTTTACTTTTTATTAAATTGTAATTCTGCCAGCCTTTTCTACAAAGAAATATTATATTTTTAATTGTGTTGGGATTGTCACCTGCGGACATTTTAAACTGTTTTGCATATTTGTGCAGAGGCATAGTCTAAAGAAAGAAGGTCTCTGCAATGGAAATAGTTGTTCCTGGTGATTGGACATGGCAAACAAAATTGGACTCATATCCACTTGTGATGTATTTTACTTTTTATTAAATATCATATTTTAGTTGTTTGTTATAAATTACTTTTCCTCATTGATGAATATTATTTTAATTTTTTTAATACAATTCAAAGTAAATTTTTATATTTATGTTTTGTTTTGCTTTCAATGCAATTTTTTTTATTCTTCTAAATTCAAGACTGTTGTGATAGTTATATTAATTTTTTCAAGTAAAAATTGATATTCAAAGGATTCTTTGTTTTAGGTTGCCTGTGAAATAAAATATTAATATGCAATCTCTCTGTTAGTAATTGAGCTTAAAATAACACTATATTTTAGTGAAAGAATATAGATATATTTATATTAAATTGAATTTTAATCAGAAAATTATGTAATTACTGATGGTGCATTGACCATACTATTTATCAAAATGAATGTCTTTTTATTGAAATGATACAATTATACCAAAGTTTAAAAAAATTAATTTTGCGAGAAAATTTCAAAAGACAATTCAAAACAACAATACTTTTTGTTGTAGGCATCTGCTTAATTTTGAATCTACTTTCTTTAGAAAGTCTCTCAAATTGATACTGGTATATAAATTTTTATTTTTATATAAATGTATTTATGATGGAAATTGATTGTAGCAGATGATAATGACATTTAAATATGTTATATGTTTTAATCCAGAAATCTTAAGTATTTTCTTTGTTATTTGGCATTTATAACACCACAAGATATTGCTGAATAGTACAGATAGTAGTTTCAATATTAGAAGTGTAAAATATTAGGCTCTAATAATCTTTAATGAAAAACCATGAAGATGAAAGTATGGTTTAAAAAACTTAATAGTTCAAAATTGTTTTTCTTTTTACATTTAAAACCTTTTATTTTTGGTTGTGTGTTCCCCTATCCCTATTTACTCTGTTAAAATGACCTTGTTTAATGCTGTTTCGCTTAGCACTTTGTTGTCTAAGAATGCATCCACCATGTTAAGTGGGATCTTCCTGTATGTTCTATTGCACTGCTTTTTAGTTAGTATAACATAATAAAGTTGATACTTTTTATTTAGTTTAATACTGAAAAATTTGTCTTCTATTATCAACTTGTTTCTTTCTTATTCTATTCATAATAGAAGTATTGGCAATTTTTATCATTTTTAACTTTTTTTTTTCTTTTTGCTCTGTTTACTATTAATTATTTTGTAAACATGAATGTTTTTCCTAATTAGCAGAAATCAATATATCTAACTAAACATACATCATACATTTTTACAGAAATGTTCTTACTTACTTATTCCTTATTTAGTTTCTATATAGTTGTTGATAGGTGTGTGTGTGTGTAATAGTTGTTTAAAAATATAGAATATACAAATTATTGATTTTGTTTTTTTTGGGGTGCATTATTAAATTAATTAACCTGGTTAAAATTATGATATTTTTTTGGTATAAATTAAAATTATGATATTTGTTTCATGTTAATTTTAAAATTACAAAATTAAATAACAAAATATTCTATTTAATATTTTAGTTGAACCAGTAGTAACAGCAGAACGTTTTCGCTATGGTCAAGCTTTACAATACAACATGGATCTTCTTTGTCGAGTGGAGGCATTTCCATCTCCTTCAATAATCTGGATTAAAGATGGTGTTCAGTTACAAGATAATCAGCATTATCAAATATCTATATTTCCAACTGATGATGAATTTACAGAAACAACACTTAGAGTTATAACAATAGAGAAAAAACAATATGGTGATTATTTCTGTAAAGCAATTAATAAATTAGGTTCTGGTCAAGCCAAAATAGAACTTTATGGTAAGTAATTTTTTTATCATAGACACTTTTCTATTCTCCTTTTATTTATGTTAAAAACTTATTTTATAATATTGTCATAATGTTTAAATTACCATAATTTCATGTGGATGACCTTAGGTGGCATGTATATATCACAAAAAATTGCAAAACAACAATAAAACCTTCATATAACCCACCCTACCATATACTATAACTGAAGGATGGCATAAGTTCAAAACCCAGAAATTGGGACTTTGTGAGGTAGCATTATCATAAAAAATAGATAGATATCCAATAGGGTAGTAGCTAGACTAGAAATAAGTGAATACACCTAACTCTATTTTCACACTGTCTTTTTTTTTACACAATTTTGAAATAACACGGTCAAAGAAAAAACTGACATGATTTGAAAATTTAATAAAATAAAAAATGATTGTCAATGTGAGCAAATAAAATAAAAGGAAGAAAGAGAATTGACAAAACTAATTTATTAGTAAGGTTTTCAAGTATTGCATCATTCAGTTTTCTAGTTCATTATTGAAGTATCATTAGCTCATAACATTTTTGTCAGAATGAAGTGCATACTTAGGTTGTGCTATTAGGTGTATTAAAGAAGAAAAAGGTGCATATGACTTTCTTACCAGTTTGCAATAAGTCTAATTTACAAGATTTTATAAGTCTAATTAAAATATTTTAATTATAATTTTTATGGTAGATTACGAGTTCAAAATGTCTAAAATTACAAAAGAAAGGAAAAGCCATTTTATTAAAAACAAAAATAAAAATCTTGATACTGTCTTGCAAGTGGTGAAGGTTTAACAGTCCTATTAAATATAAAGGTACTCTTAGTGCTCACAATGCAAAAACTAGAACATGATCAGATGTAACCATTCATTGATCCATTGTCATTGATTGTATAAAACTAGCAATAGTTTTGAAGCAAACATATAGCACAACATATGCCACATATTGCACCAAAGATTACTTAAGGTGCACACATGAGATTGTGAGGATAGGTGTTGCATGGATACACAATGCCTATCACCTACTATTCTTATTTGACTTTTTCCAATACGAATCAGAATTTTTTGTAGAAATGAACAAATCAGGACAACATATGCCAAATATTGCTTTTTTCTGTTGCATTACTGTTTACAAACTACTATAGATATACATAAACAATCAAGCCCATATATTTTATAATAATCATTTTAATTTTTAATATTAATTAATAATTAATAATGGCTACTAAAATAAAATAATAATTAATAATTATGCTATTAATAATTATTTTAAAATTTTTTAGACTGTTAGACTGCTTCTTATACTAACATTAACTAATAATTACAGAAATTTATCTAATAATCATTAAATTTATTTCACAATAATAAAACAAATGAAATCAAAGCGATGACATTATCTTTTTGCTTCACTTTTTAAATTAACATTTGTATAAAATTTAAAATATTAAATAACTTTCAATTAGTGTGTGTATTAGCAAGAAATTAACTCCTGTAATTCAATTGAAGGCATTTATGAAGCATTTCAATTACATAAATTAAGTGTAAAAATAAATAGGCCTAAGTGAGATTTATCATTCTTATTTTATGACAAATTTCCTTTGTCTAGTAATAATAATAAAAGTAAAATTGGAAAAAAATTACCATACTTTCTGTAGTTCATTCTTCCTCGTTTTTCTAATTTAGAATTGAAAAGTTTTTTAATTGAAAAATATTAAACTAGTATGATTGATTATGGGATAATATCAATATTATATTAGTGCTAGTTAAAGCATTTTTAATCAAAATAATTATTGTATAAAAATTTAATTTTCTATTTCGCTTCTTGTATTTTGTATTAGACTGAAGGTTAATCTGCATCTTAATTGCAAGTATTCATTAAAAAATTAAATCTTAACCTATCAAAATTGGTCATGGAAATAAAAACATTGGAGAATATATTGTAAACATCTTGTGTCATTTCTCATGAACATATGAATAGATACAGTAATTACACTACTCAACAAACAAAAAGGAAATTTATGCAACTGATATTACAGTGGGTAAATAGGGGTTTATAAAGCATCTTTTTTACAAATATGGCAAGCATAATTTTCCAGCACATATATTTTGAGTTCTAGAATATAATTATTCAGCTTATATCAAACTGAAAAATTGTTTTATTTACATAAATATATATGAAATTACATTTTTGTCAATCTATTGTTGATAACTTTTTTGAAAATGATGATTTTCATTTATATTCCATGTCACGTTCTCTCATAAGGAACCAATAATAGTCTCCTGTCATTCCATGATCTCACCTGTCTTGATATCATGTTTCTATTGTCAGGATATCTTGATTGAACCTCTTCCCTTGCTCATCACTGATGTCACCCAAATTTTCAGGGAAAAAATTTAAATGCAAATGCAAAAAGTGTAGTTTAAGGAACATTCTACAACCCATTTTATTGTAGTTTTCAAGTAATTCTCCATGTTTTTCATAGTTTTCTGTTCTTCTATTGACCAAAAACTTACAACTCCTTAATAACTTTTTTGAGCAAATTGTGCATCCTGCAGTAATTTTCTGATTTCAGGTCTAACAAATATTCCTTCTTTAAGCTTTGCATCACCTAGTTTTGAAAAAATCTGTTTAAAGTATTTGAAAGCAGCATCTTCTTTGGCCAGTGCTTTTATGAAGGTTTTTATTAATTCAAGTTTTAAAGTGGAAGTAACAAGATTCTTTTGGGATCAACCAGAGGTATATTCTTTACATTAGTTTGACCTGGGATAAATTCATCTCTCTGAGGCCATTATTTTACTTTAAAATGATTGTGTTGCTCTACTATCCCAAAAACAAAGAAAACAATATTGGTAAAAACATCCTGAAGTCCCAGTAACAACCCTATAACTTTTAAGTATCCACATATCTGTATTTTAACATTAAGTATCTGCATCTGTAAGATCACAACTCAAAAACCTTACAAGCCAGGAAATTTTTAACTTCATTTTTTTGTTATCAAATAGGAATTAACAAAAACATCTTTTTTCCCACAGTTGCAAAATGACTGTTAACTAGCATTATTTGTCCATTGCATTAGTTGCCTGCTTAGTTGTAGTGTAAATGAACTTTAACTCATTATTGGATTTTAAATTTGCATATAATTCAGTTTATTGCATAATCCTCACCTTTCAAATTATCTTTCAAACAGATAATCCATGGGATATCCACATGAAATTATTATTATAACAAGTGTATATATTAATTGATTTTAGTTAATAGAATGATAAATAAATACTAAATTTACTATATAATTTATAGTATTTATTAAAGACCAAAATAAGGTTTTCTTTGATGTGAAATTTTATGTTACATTAAAGTAAATCACACACAATCTCAATTGATTTGAGATTTTCTGAACATATAGAATGAAATGAAAGTATGTTGTAAATATTAGTTTTATTACTATTTTTGAGAATATTTACTTCATATGAAAAGTAGGGATAAATTTGAATTATGCTTTATTAATTTTGTCTGAATGGTAGGTTTCAAATTTTTAGAACACATAATGTTAATCAGATATTAATGATGTGTTAAAGAATTAATTTTCTGAGAAAAAAATCAATAAAAATAGTATCTAATTTTGTGTGTACTGTAAAAGTTTATTTATAATAGATTTATATAGTTTGCATGATTTATATAGATTGTAAAAGTAAGATACAAAATTAAAATTTTCTGTTAATCCTTTTCTAAGCAAATAATCTCCTCATAATCCATTCATTATGAGTTTTGGCTTTTTTTGATAAAACCAATGAATCGTAAAATTGGCTGATTATTATAAACAACTTTATAATCATTGTAATTTCCAATTTTATGGATACTGTACATAAATAAATCCATAGGTTCTTGGAAACTGCAATGTTAAATGAAACAACATATAATGAAACCAATTTTATCACAGGCTAAACAATATAAACAAAATATAATTCAGTTAGTATTATCCTAGTTGGATGTATTTGCAACTTCCAGCATTTATTTTCCATCTCAGAATTAATTTTACTGTTTGTAAAGAAAATTCAACAATAGTAATTGTAAATTATTACAAATATACTGTACTTCCAGTTTTATGTACATACCGGGTGATTCAAAACTTGAGGTACAAACTTTTTGAGAAGGTAGAGAACATAAAAACAAATGATATTCACATAGGAATGCATGACCAGAAACATCATCCTAATGTGCTAAAGGGCCTAATAAAGATTTTTCGTTGTTTATTGTTTTGTCATTACTGCATCTTAACAAGATGCATTTACATTAGGATGGCATTTCCAATCATACATCCCTCTGTGAATATAGTTTGTTTTTATGTTCTCAGCCTCTTTTAAAGTTTGTACTCTGAGTTTTAAATTACTGTGTACATAGATTTAGAAACAACTTTTAATATCCAGTATAGAATTTATAGCAGAAGAAATATTTTTGACTAATGTAATTAGCTATCATCAGATTAATCTCATTAAAAGATATATTCCATGGTTCTATAATCTCAATTATATGTAATATATACTTTAAAAATTATCTAATCTTAAGAATTATATATTATTCTAATCAGTCTAGTTTTAGAGATGAAATCTACAAGCATTCATGCAGTCATTAAGCTGCCAACTGACCAAATATTCAATAAACCTTTTCCTGCAAGAGTTTTTGTTTTTTTGTAACACAGTGCACAACACAAAATTATTTAAAGCTCTTCTAGCATTTCTTGGTTTGTTATTTGTTAATGTTCTGTCATTTGTAAATTTGACTTCATAGCACTGCCTAAATAACATATCTTACTTTATATCTCATTTTTTATAAATTATAATAAATGTTATAGGCAGCTGAGTAAAGGCATTAATTTTATAAATGGTAATAAATTCATATTCATCATTTCTTTTTCATTTTATCCCTCAATAAATGAAATACTGTAAATCTTTTTCTAACAATTTAATCCTTTGATAGTATCATCTTCATATATGTTTATTTCTTACTTCACTTCACTACCAATTTTGATTATCTGATAAACTTTTTGAGAAAATTTATGGAAAAGTTTTCATTTCAATGGATTAGCTAAATATCTTTCTTACTTTCTCTTAGTGCCAACAAAGTAGAAATAGTGAAAAACTAAACAAAAAAGTCTTTCATAAAATGAAGTTCAGATCAGTTACAGTTGAGTAAAAGGATACATATTTCCAATTAACAAACATTAAAAAATTTAAGTTTAAAATATTGTATCTAGATTATTTAGATAGTATTTGTTAATTGAATTCAGATTTATAAAAGTTAAATCAAAGAATCAATTCAAAGAAATACTCAAAGATTATTAATAATAACTGAATTACATTGGTTTATAGTTTTATATGAAAATTATTTAATATAGAGTATAAAAATTAATATAACAAGTTTGTACATCTGAAATTGTTAAATTTTGATTATTTGGAGAAAGTTTTGTCCAGGCAATTCATACTAAGGGACCATCTATTAATTATGTGTCCAGTTTAATTGTGGAGGGAGTCACGAAAAGTACATCATTGTACACAATAGGGAGATGTCAAGGTTATCAATGTGAACATTTTTAATACAATTAGTGGCATATAAGTTTGTTGTTATGAGTCTATTTTGCAGAATTTTTTTGATTAAAATTATTTCTTCAATATTAATTGTACATGTAATTAAAGGGGATCATTGTATGCAACAGGGTAGGATAGGGTCAAGTGTGACTCAAAACTCTACCTAATTAATGGACAATCCCTAAGTATTATAATTATTATTATTATTAATCTAATTTTATATGAATGAAATGCATAAATTAATTTTTTAAGGTGAATACATTTTAAAAATTTCAAATTTATTATTTATTTTAAATGTTTCATTTAATATAATAAACACTACACAAATAACCAATATCCAGCAAGAAAAACTACAAGAGAGCAAATGTTTTCATCTGTATTGGATGGACATCATCAGACTAACTGACCTACAGCTACATTTGAACTGCAAAGAGTCACTTAGCTTGACTATTTCTGTTTAACATGGATGAAAATGTTTGCTTTCTTATAGTTTTTCTTGCTGGATATTAATTATTTGTATAGTGTCTATTTACATATACTCAATTTGAGTAGTTGAATTTAATATAATTTGCATCTATATATAAATCATAAATTTTCTTATTTACAGAAACACCACATGCTACTTGTCCTCCAGCTTGTGAATTGAGTTATCTTAGTAGTGGTAAATCAAGCATCATTGCCTCTAATATTTTAATTACAGTGTTTGTTTTAATTTTTAAAGTATATTAGAAAAAATTTTATAATTAAAAAAAGTAATTCCATCACATTAAAATTTCTGTGAACATATCATACAAATTCTTACTCATATAAGTTTTCTACAGTACCAGACCAAATATCTGGTTTCCAGAAATCTGGAATTCCCAAAAAACCAGCTGTTTTTGGAATTGGCATTTTGAGTTTGACAGATTGTAGTTGCCACATGGCCACTTTGTTTTGACTTTTGTGGGACACGTCTCACAATGCCAGTTCCAGTGTGACTGCTGGTATATTGTGTGTTAAAAACAGTTTAGTTCTTTAATTTCCATTGCTTATTTTACAATTTAAGTATATATTTGGTCTTTTCTTTATCCAGAAATCTAGACTGGTAGTGACCCATCCCAATCTTGCTGGATATTTGGTTCAGTACTGTATTATTTCGGTTAAAAATATAGTTTCAAATTTTTAACAAGTAACAATTGTAAAATATATATTACAAGCAGCAATTAAAAATATAAAACAGATTTTATAATGATAATTAATTATTTCTAGAATTGTGTTTATTTTAAAATATATATATATATATACAGTGGGTGATCATTTAATGAACAGTTTGGACTGCGAACAAATCAGACAATGAACACTTTCATGAAAGACTTTTATGTTCGGACAACGAACACAGTCTTGGAATGGATTATGTTCATTAACCGATCACTCCACTGTACTGTATTAGAGTTTTAATATCTGAAATTGGGATATTTGTATATTTATTATGTTATTATTTTGATGTATTCCTAAAAAACTGAAAAAATATTTTTAAATATTATGGTTGATCAGTTTTAGATGATCAATATCTTGCCTTAGAGTATTTTGTATTAATTAAATATTCATATTGAAGTGAACTTACATCCATAATTCTAAATTAATTTCTTTGCTTGGAATTATACTTAAAAACTCTTTAATAAAACAATTAGATTTATTACCAGATTTACTAGGATTATTTTTAACTTTTTTTAGTCCAAAAAAATGAGGGAGAAATAATAATTTATTGATTCAGTCTCAATTTCAGTTGTTAGATTCTTTGATATATGATCATTTACACTTAGATAGTTTTGAACATTGTCAAAATTATTTTTCTGCCACTCAGGGAATTATATGCTTTGTGCCTTATAATTACCCATTTAAATATATTCTAATTCAGTTCATATTAGGCCTCTATTAGCATAATTAGAAAGTACAACTTAATACCTATTTTATTATTAGGTATATTTTCATATTGTGATTAAGAACTAAGCTTTTAATATATAAAATGTATCTGAAATTTATAACCAGTGCTGTAACTAGCTTTTTGTGTACCCTGTGCAAGAATTTATTTTTGCCCCTCTCTTTATCAGGGGGAAAAATACAAAATAGAAATGATCAGTTATTTTTTAACTGTAACTAAAAACATTATGGATTACTGATCATTTTTTGAATACCCCATTTTAACATTCCCATTGTCTGCGCCCTGTGCCTGTGCACATCTTGCACCTTCCTAGTTTCGGCACTGTTTATAACTGTCATAAATCTTTACACAAATAATTATGATTAGATTCAATCATTATTTTTTTCTAACAATTTAATCCTTTGATAGTATCATCTTCATATATGTTTATTTCTTACTTCCTACTTTAATACTGTGTTAAATTCTAAAGAAATTAATTTTGTGTATAGGAAAGATGTTTGGTTTAAACTTAACAAAAAAAGCAGTTCAGAATTCTTTTCCTGACATAAGAATAAAGCAACTTTATTGATATGTAAAAAAAATTAATTTATACAAATCAAGTTGCAGAAATTGACTCTGTGAATTATAAAATTGTAATAAAAGATTGTCTGTGTAAATTTAATAAAATGATAAAAAAATTTGTAAAAATATTTTCTATGAAAATTTAAAAAAAAAATTATAAATTTGTACTGCTATGTATAGTATTGTGCCACTTTATAGATCTGATTTTTCATTGCAGATCTTAATTTCATAATATAATACACTAGTTTTATATTCAAGTATATAGAAAATAATTAATTAAATTGTTATATTAGAAAATGTTATTTTTTCCATAATTTCAAAATCATAAATCATGAAATAACATCAAAATCATTTTTTTTTTATGAGAAAGTATTGTTTTACTAGTTTATGGCAAATTTACACTGTTTAATTTTGCAAAGTAAAATTTAAACTTGCACATTAACTTTTATGTTTTTCAATTAAAAATTTTAGGATTATTCCAAAATTGCTAATCAATAATGTTTACAGAAATTAAGATTTTATATATTCATTAATTAAATACAGTAGAATCAAATAGTATGATTGCATTATAAAAGTTAGAAATGTGTTTTTAAAAGTGTGATTTTTATTTATTACAATATTGCCTTAAATTGACAATTTTTAATTCATTTTAAATTTTAAATGAAAGTGTTTTTTGAGTTTTTTAATAATGTCCTGGTATCATTATATAACAATTTGCAACATCTAAAAAATTAACATAAAATGAATGCTTTATATATATAGTTATAAAACATGAAGAATGTGAAGACTTTGTAAAATTCCTTTAAAAATGTTTTATTTACTGTACTGGTACATGACATAAAAAAGAGCGATTGATAAATATCTCTTTTTATCTCAAATATATACAAATTTATTAATTACCTTTTAGTACAATTTAAAACAAGGGTGTGTAAATAGCAAGCATATAAATATTTTCAGCAATGTTGACTGAGTTGGATTGTAACTTGTGCATCATAAAGCAAGTTAATAAAATTTAATTAATCGTAGAACTTATTAATAAGTTCTATTTACATGTAATTAAAAATTGAATAGTATCATACTAATGGAAGAATTATCAGATATGAAACACTAAATTTTTCATCAGAAATTTTATAAAATTAATTTAAAAATAAGAATAGCATAATGAATACATTTAGATAAAATGTTTAATTATTTCATCATTGCTTATATAATGAAACAATTCTTAAAATGAGAGTTTTAATATTGTGATTAAGAATGAAGCTTTTGGTATATGAAATGTGTCTGAAATTCATAACTATCATAAATCTTTAAACAAATCATCAATTAGATTTGATCATAATTTTATAAAGTAAAAGTTTCTTTTGATGATGATAATATTTATTTCTATTTCTGTTGTTTGAATTTCATTAGTTTAATAACATTTAATCAATTTCAGGCAATACTGTAATAAATTAGTTCTAACTTTAATGCATATTATTCAAAATTTCATGATTATTTATATTGTAAATTTTGGACTTTTTTTAGTCAGTTTCAATAACTGCTAATCAAATTGTGCCTTCTGATGCTTATATAGTATTTACTCATGTAACGGTTTTGATTATTGTTATGATTTTATGTTAAAAACTTGTTCCTGAAAAACTTCTAATTTGTGTATTAAAACAAGGCCTAATATTCATATAAAATTTTTTATCAAAGTCATTTTTATGCATTTTAAATAAATATAAATTTTATGAGTTTTATATAAAGAGCAATAATCATACTTGTGATACAATGCTTTTCATACAGTTAACTGATTATTAGGACAATTAAGCAATTAATACAGAAACTCAAGTTAAAATTGAGCATATACTTTGAGTTTATTTCATAAATGTTAAATAAATTATTATGAAATTAATGTATTACTTTCCAAAGATAATTAGCATGCAAGAAACAAAGTTATCTTTTAAGTTATATGACAAGATTTTTTATTATGCAAAATATTTAAATATGAATTTAAATAGTGCAATTACCATAAATTACAATTCATGACTGAGATNGTGGGCCTCTGAGAGTTTTTATAACAATTTCAAGGCATTCTTATAGCATACAATGGGAACAGAACTGCAATCATTTACAACCTGTCTGAGTCATAGTTATATATTGAGTTTTGCAGTAATCCGACAATTCTATCTGGGTGCGTAACTTCTCAACAACAAAAAAATCAATTCTTTTATAAGTGTGAATCGACTATATGCAATTTTATATACTTAAAATTAAAACTTATTTTTGTTAACGTGTAACGTGAAAAGAATTTCATAAAATTATATATGCGTGAAGATTCCGGAGGAAAACTCATCTTAACCTTTAAACCAAATAATACTAGTAAATAATAAATCTACTTAAGAATGATTGATTTATAGGATATAGCCTAATTAAATTTTTAAATTATAGATACTAATATAAAACAAAAAATCAATCAGTTGATATTGTCTTTTATGTTTTAATTCTGATTAGCAATTACCATAAATTACAATTCATGACTGAGATGATATTAGTGACTTAAGATTCTTTGTAAATTGTTTTGCTATCCAATATTATAATTTTAATATATTTTCATTTTTCCATTGATTTCAATTTCATTAATAGTAAACATATTGAATTTGTTCTGAATGAAATTATAATTTTACTTTGAGATGAAGGGATTTTGATTGATAAAATACATATAATCATTATTTAGTTTAATCTTTTCTTGTTCATTTACGAAACTGTATGAAAGGCTTTGTGTAATAAATATTGATTTAAACATATGCATTTTGATACAAAATTAAACTCTGCCTAAGAAGTTTTTCATCCTAGTTTTATCACCTCATGAATCAGATGTATTAATTTTAATATCTAGTTGTAATTTTAATACTACTTTGTCATAAAGACATATTACATTTGAGAGATAAATAACTTAATGTTCATTTGCAATAATTAATTAATGATCAACTTTTAATAATTTAAACTAATAAGAAGAGTCAACCATTTATACTCTTTTATACTGGCTTTAAAATTTTTATAAATGCTGTATTTTTCAAATGCACATTAAATATAATCTGAAAAAAGTATTTTTACTTGTAAATGCACAGAATTTAGAATAGAAACCAAAAATTTATATCTATATTAAATAGAACTTATATTGTGACTCTGTGAATTATAAAATTGTAATAAAAGATTGTCTGTGTAAATTTAATAAAATGATAAAAAAATTTGTAAAAATATTTTCTATGAAAATTTAAAAAAAAATTTATAAATTAGTAATATTTTGTGTATAGGAAATACACTGTAGTGACACAGTAACTTGTCGTGACTAGCTTGATTTGAATATTAATTTTCGCTTAATCCTGTCATTTCGTTAAAAAAATTCTTAACCTTTGCAATCGTGATTCCGTGCAAGCAAGAATATCGCTAAAAACTAAATAGATTACTTACTGAATTAGTTTCATTTTAATGAATATAGGAAATATAAAGTTATGTTTATATAAATATTAAGAAATGATGAATTAATTAGTGTTTGATTACAACTTAAAATTATTGTACATAGTCACATTGACCAAAATAAATTGCGTGCTAAGGAAGAGGCGTTGGAATTGTATGAAACTTTTTGTGCGAACATTATGACGATAGTAATAAGTGATTACAGTATCATAGCCAAGGAACAATTTCCTATGGAACAAAGATACAATTTAAAGGAAATTTCAGTACCTTGTAGTAGTAGTACTAGTCGAAATTTATGCGACAATGCAGTCAGGCTTGAAGGCATACAGGAATCATGCTTTTCGGCAGATTTGCCCTCGGATGTTGCAATTGCCACTCCAAATCCCTTACAGAAAAGTTGGCTTCAAATCTGATTCCACGATTGTTCAATCAACGGCTTATCTAGAGACTAGGCAGACCAACAAAATGTTGTAATTCCTAGGATACGATAACTATTGTGAAGTCTGGCATTATCTTGCTTGAAAACGGCTGTTTCGTAGCAGATTGCGAAGACAACATGAGGACAAGATTTCCAGAATGTACCGCTCATCGTCCCTCTTGTCACAACGTTTCACTGACTCATACGAGATAGTTCAGGCCAGCA